CTATCTATCTATCTATCTATCTATCTATCTATCTATCTATCTATCTAATCTATCTCAGTTTAGGATCAGATTTCACAGTAGTTGATTACAGCCCTTAAAAGCTCATAGTGTATTTACATTTATTACTGTTTATGGTGCAGCCATTTTTTTCCTGTCACACAAACCATCGTATAGCAGCATAACTGAGCCCATAAAATGGAAGACTGGCCCTTCTCAGAAGCCCTCTGAATCTTTAAAACCTGGGCCCACCTCTTTCCATGGAGTAGCACCTTCATAATGTGTATATCCTGCATACAAGCTCAAGGACCAGAGTCTGCAGGACTGTGAATGTAAATGAAGATGAATATTGTTCCTTTCTGGCAGCAGGATCAAATATTGCATAAATGTGTTCTTTCATCTATTTTATTATTTTTACTGGATCAATACAGGTAGTCCTCGACTTATGACCACAATTGAGCCCAAATTTCCTGTTGCTAAGCAAAATGGTTGTTAAGTGAGTTTTGCCTTATTTTGCAACCTTTCTTGCCACAGCTGTTAAACAAATCACTGCAAGTTGTTAAATTAGTAACATAGTTTCCCCATTGACTTTGCTTGTCAGAAGGTCACAAAAGGTGGTCACGTGATTCCAGGACACTGCAACTGCCATAAATTTATGCCAGTTGCCAAGCAACTGAATTTTAATCATGTGACCATGGGGATGTGGCAACGGTCCTAAGTGTGAGAACAATCATGAAATACCTGTTTTCAGTGATGAAGTAACTTTGAATGGTCACTAAATGAATGATTGTAGGACTATTTGTAATAATCAATATGGATAAACATGTAGCACCTTCCAGATTTATTTCTAGTTAACATATTTAATTAACATCTTCAAATATGCAAATATATTCCATTGGATCAAGACTTAGCACAGATGTACTGAAATTAGTGGGACTTGATTAATTGTGAATGACTTAAAAGTTGCACTGGTATCAATAGGTTTGCCCTAAAAATGATTAAATGTAGATACTGCCAATGAACAGTAATTAAATAATCTGAAATGTTAATTTTTATGGATGAAAAAGAATTCCATTGTCCACCAGCGGGCATCACATTATGTTCTGGCCAGTGTAACTCAAAACATTGTGTAACAATTGAAATCCCATCCCCTCCAGCATGGTGTTGGTGGATGCACATGGGAGCATGACATAATGTACCATCTGTGTCTTTTTTGCTTGGAGACTGAAAAGAAGTGAACTAAATATTACAACACTCTTACTGTCTATGTATAAAAAGTGTTGGGACGTGATGTCATAAACTCTCTCCTTAATGTTCAACATCAAGAAGCAAGATGCCTAAATTGATGGAATTCAAAGGAACCCTCTGATCTTTTAGTGAGGGAATAAATAGAAGCCAGACTTCCCAATATGAACCCCAGGCTAAATAAATCACAGAAATTTCTTCCATGGTTTATTTAAACACTCCAGTTGATAGAAGGAGGTATTTTGTTCATTTGTATTCCAAAGTAATGTGGTTTAATGTGATGTGAATATGGTAATGTTGAAGGTGATATAAATACTTTTCAATGTGCGGTAACAATTTAATGTTCAATTTCGCCAATGTTTAGAATTCTTAATTTTTGTAGCATCCGTCTTCTGTCCTGAATATTCCAAAGAGTTCAATATGCTGAATTAAGTTATTTTTAAGTCATTTTTGTTACAGTTGGCTAAGAACGGGATTAAATAGAATGGAGTGCAAGTATTCCTCAATTTATGACTGAGACCACCATTTTCATTGTTAAGCAAAGTGATTAGGTGAGTTGTGCCTGATTTTATGACCTTTTTTTGCCACACTTGCTAAGGGAATCACTGCAGTTAAGTGAATCATGTGGTTGTTAAGAAAAGCTGGCTTCTCCCATTGACTTATCAAAAAACAGCTGGGAAGGTCACAAATGGCAATCACAAATGATTCTGCAAGTATTGTAAATTGCAAGCTGGTTGCCAAGTGACTGAATTTTTAGCATGTGAACCATGGGGATGCTGCAATGGTTGTAAGGGTGAGGAGTGTGTCAGTCACTTTTTTCAGAGCCACTGTAATTTAGAATGGTTGCTAAAAGTCAAGGACTACCTGTATTTAAAAACTGACAATAATTCATATTCCATATAGTTTTATACTTAAAACAGCAGAAATAATCTGGCATTTTTCTGTTCTAATTGCTGTAATACTCCATACAGAAATGTGATTATTAAATGAGATCAGATTTAGTAGAAATTATGTAGTTCAATATATTCTGCATAATTTGAAGTATGTAATTATTTAAATTGGTTAATACACTTCATTCATTAAAGGCCAAAATGAGATTCTCCTTCAAGATGCCTTTTGGTAAATCAATACGGTGGCAGATGAAGAGTCACTCTTTAAATTCTGGCTCATCTTGGTCAGGGCAAAACATGGGGAATTATAGATTTCCTCCCCATTCCTCTTCCCTCTTCTAAATGATACAAATGAGATGGAAAATTTCATGTTGTAAGAACCAGGGCTTTTTGTACCCAAAAATGGGCCAATCCACGGCATGCCACGCCAATTCTCTAGTGTTGCAGCAAGAGCTCCTGGGAATTGAAACACTACCCTGCAAGCAAATCTTTTTTTCTGGAGTAACACATTAAAAATAATCTCCCAAATTGGTGTCACGTAACTTAATGATTGTGAATCAATATCCATTCAGCAGGAAGGTGTTGGGAATTGATTTCAAGCTCATCAGGAGAGCATCAGGTTAAGGAAGGCTAGCTGGAGGCCAGTTGAGGGTATGCAAAATTTGAGGCTAGAACACCTCAAATTTAAATTTATCACTACACATTTTAGAGCAGGGGTGTCCAACCTTGGCAACTTTAAGAATTGTGGACTTCAACTCCCAAAATTCCGCAGCCAGTTTTGCTGGCTGAGGAATTCTGGAAGTTGAAGTCCACAAGTCTTAAAGTTGCCAAGGTTGGACACCCCTGTTTTAGAGTTTTACAAATTATATTGCTAATAGATTTTCCCAGCCATTTTTAATTTAATAAATTTCCTGACTTAAACCTAAGTGTTGGATAGGTTAAATTATCTGAAGATCATAATTAAACTTATGCACGTTTTACCCTTCCAACAAGCAAAATAACATTAGATTGCAAGCTAATTTAGGAATAAGAACCAATTAGTATCAATGAGATATAATCAAATAAAACTATATTTAACCAACTTACTGTCAACATGGGAATGAAGATATCTGTTATTTTTATGTAAGTCTTTGTTAACAAAGATTTCATATATAAATTTATATATATAAATTTATATAAATCTAAAATTTCACTTGTATAAAATCAATTATCATTTTGACAAGGACTACATGCTCAACAAGGCCCAAATAGGAGTCAAACAAACTTTCAACAATTGATTAATTTACAAGTTTAAAAAAAAAGGGGGGGGGGGGGGAAAAAAAAATGAAAAAAAAAAAAGGGAAAAAAAAAAAGGGGGGGGGGGGGAGAAACAAAATTGATGGACAGAAGAGTGAAAACAAATAAGAGTGCATTAATATGGAAGGTACAGCACAGTTGATAAGGAATGGAAATCACTGTTAGCTAACAGGATAGTTTTAGTGAAGGAAATGTGGTTAGACTAGAAAAAAAATCTGTCCATTACTGTACCTCTGTGGATGATACTTGATATTCAGAGCACTCTGATGGTTTACAAGGAGATGACGTTTTGCTGTTTATCAACCATGGTTTACCATAGTTGCGTGTTAAAGGATGGGGTGTCTGTATGAAACAATGGCAAATCAAAATGTGAAGAACAGTTGTTGGAAAACAATGTCATGAAATGGAACAGTCAGGTTATGAAGAATGAATCTCACAGTAAAAGTCCAAAACAAGACACCAAAACTGAGCAGGAGCAAGTGAGGACAAGCATTCTGTATGGAAAAGGATTATGTGTGTTTCTAAAATGCAATGGGGGGTTAATGTTTTACTCCTTGAACAAGTTGGTTCTGTGGTCTAAATGGCTTACATGTTTTTTCCCAGTCTTGCATGACCGCTGCATATTGTAAGGCAGGGGAGAGGAGGAAACAATAGAAAACTTTGTTAGAGTCTTTGGAAAAAATAACTAAAATCTCCCTATTGGTTTTAAGGCAGCTTTATTGCTACTAACTGAGGTTCAGACTCAATCCTATTAAGTAACATTAAAGATTATTGTAAGGTATATCAAATCTTATATCAAAGATTATTCAAACTGTACCTTGGGCGTACTAGCAGCAAGAGCTGAAACTGGAGTTCCTTGGGCAGGTTGATTGGACACAGACATGGATCTGTTGGGAGAAGCGCCCCTTGAAGAAGGCCGTGATCTACGTCCTCTTGATCGGAAGGCAGCCATACTTTGGGAAGGCCCATCTGCTAACATGAACTTCTCGCGGAGCTCCATGTTTGTCCTTCCTTTTGCTACAGTGAATGAAAAAAGAAAATTAGGAATCTGATCATTTGCCTCCCCTTCCTCTTCCACACCATTGCCTTGCCAAGTTCTCAACAAATAAACCAAACAAATCAAACACATTAGTAATGCGTCTGAAAGAAAAGAGTTCACTGGTAAAATGTGCGCATCTAATGTTCTAGGCCAGCAAAGATGAACCACGGTCAACATAAATCAGCATGATAATGGAATGGCTCAACATGCTATTTGGTTACTGAGGCACAGACACAACCTGAGGACCCACTCAACTAATGCTATTTTTTCTTGGGTGATTCAGAAACAGAAACAGATGTTGGCTATGATAAGCAGACAAGAGAGAGCAAAGGGTAAACCATATTAAGTCTAAATTAGAAATCATACAGTTTGGTAACATGCAATGCAACAAGGAACTCCCAAACTCTAAGGAAGGGTTTGGATGTTAAAATACCAACGGAATGCTGTTATAATAAGAGAGGACAATGCACAAGGATCAGACGCATAAACATGGTTAGCGTTTGATACCTCTTTGGGTTAGCAGCAATGGCTTTTGAGACATTTTCTCAAAGTCATTATTTAAATTTAAAGGCAAGCTCTCAAGCACCAGCCCAGTGCAGCAAGTGTTAATCTAAAACTTCAATAGGTGAAGCGTTTTGTTAAAACAGATTTTGATATATATTGAAGCAGAGCGAGAAGGAAATTGAAAAGAAAATAAGAACAGGAGAGACAAAGAGAGAGGGATTTGCCCACCTATAGTAGGCTGAGTGGTAATTGAAGAGTTTGATTCCGAACGTAACATTTTACTCCCATGATGATGAACTAGAAAAAATGACACAGGACATGGGTCATATTAAAAGAAAATTGTTAGCAGGAGAAGAATCAATCACACAGATGCATATGCAAGAGACTCAAAGCTGAAGAACAAGAAAGAGAATCAGATACAACTTTTTGCTTGCTCTTCCTACCCGAGATCAATTCTCTCAGGAAATACCAAAGACTCCTATATGATTTCAATAGCAAATACTTCCAATGGCATCTATGTTAAAAAACAAAAACAACACTTCTCTGTCAAAATGAAGAAATGTAACCAAAAAAAAAAAAAGGAATGGAACAAACCATGCTAACCTGAAAGAGAAGACAAAATGCCACACAATATTTAAATAATCACTACTATTCATTTTATCTTTCTAAACACAGAGCTAGTTTTTTTATTATAGATTTTCATAAGACTGAAATCTTGTTCCTCTCTTTTTTTGAGTGAGGCCAATCTTAAAATTTTTTATTCTGTTCGGGAAAAAATTTGATTTATTTATTTGTTAATTTATTTTCAACCTTCTCTCAAGAAGTTCAATGTGGCCTGCAAACCACTCCCTCCCCAAAGCACATTTTTTTTCTGCAAGAGCAACTCTGTGAGGATGAATGAGTTGAGAGTGGCTGGCCTAAAGTGACCCAGGGAATTTCTGTGGTTGAGTATGGACTTGAACTCGAGTCTCTCCGGTTAACTAGATCATGCTTGGCTAGTCTGGACTACTATGGATGAAACACTTCATCTTAACTTCACAAAACTCTCTTTGGAAAATTAAAAAAAATCAATTTTAGATTCCTATTCAGGGATATTGAAATTTATTTCAGTAAACCACAAAAAAATAAAATAAAAAAAAATTCAAAACTTTCCATATTGCTATACACTGGTATTTAAAAGAATTTCATTCTTGCAAGGTGAAGTTTGTTTATGACAACACAAAATATAATATAAAAGGAATCTTTCTCTTGATCTGTATAGAAAAAGAAGAAAATCTGGCTGTGTTACAAAATATTGGTGTCCATTCCCCCAAAGTAAGGAGCATAATGTCTCTTTATTCAACACCTATTTGTAGAAACTGCCAACTGCTTCAAAGCTAGAATGCTTTTGTTAGCCTGAGTATTAGCTGCTAATTTGATCCCTTTGAAACAACTTATTATAGTCTCTCTTTTTTCTTTCCAGTTATTTCTTTCTGTCACCTCACCAAGTGTCTATTTCCTCCTTTCTCTTTTCTCCCCTTCCCCATGCAAGAATCCCTTCCCTTTATTCTGAGTCTATCTTGTTCCTTCCACCCTTTGTCTTCTCTTTTGTCATGTCTGCTGGAAAAAAGGAGGCTGTGTACACAGAAATGTAAGTTTTGGCAGGAGAGAGTGGTTTGTAAATAGAGATGGAGATTCATTTTGTAATCTGATGAACCATAAAAGTTGTAAAATAACTTGTAAGTCCTGATGTTCTTAGCATGTTGCATATGGACAATAGTACGCTAGCTGGCAAGTCAGGCTCTAGGTTAGAGATCACAGCTTGTATAGAACAACATGAACAGATTTGGGTTCAAAATCTACTTGTGTTATGGCACTGCCAAAAATATGTCAAACTGATTAGTAACATTTTCACTAGATAAGATGAAACAAACTAATTTTAATTCCAGTAAGATGGAATAGTTGTTGGTTCAAAATTTTTCTTATTCCAGGACAATCCCCTCTGCAACTGGACAGGATTATACTTTTTCAGAAAGAATTGGTCCATAATCTGGGAGGTCTCCTGGATTCACATTTTACTCAGGAGAACAACAAGCAGAAGTCATGGTCAGAATATTCTTTGCCAGATTTGAAAGTTGGTACACTGGTTTCTTCAATTCATGGAACGGAAAATGCAGTGGTAATTCACATCCTTTTAATCTCAGGGTTGGACTACTGCAGATTGCTGTTCGTGGTACTGTCCTTGAAGACTACAGAAGTGCACACAGCCTCTGCCTGCTAGTTTACAAGTGAGAAAAGTTATAGCCGCATTACACTTTTTAAAATATGAGTTATACCATGTTACAAGCTTGTGTTCTGCACCAGTTGTGCTCCTTCCTAGACTATGAAGCCCTTCTTTCAGTCTCTCATGTCCTGGTTATCACCCGTATGGACTACTGCAATGCATTTTATGTGGGGCTACCCTTAGAATATCTGGAATTTGCAGCTGATGCAGAATTTAGCCATCCGCTGTGTGGGCTGCACTGGCTGTCAGTTTGTTTCCAAGGCCAGTTCTAGGTGTTGGTTATCACCTTTAAAGCTCTTCACAGCATGGGATCAGGCTACCCAAGGAACTGTCTTGTCTCAAGACTTGTCCCATCCAGTCAGGCACAGTGGGTATATTACAGACCTCATTGGTTAAAGAATTTCAAGTGGAAGGATTTAGGAAAAGAACTTTCTCTGCCCCCACCCTATGGAACATTTTGCCCACAGAAATGAGGCTGCCTTCTCAACCCTTCTGACCTTCCAGAAGATGGAAACCTGTGTCTGCCAACTGGCATGGAATCTAAGAGCAGCAGGCAATCTTGAGTGAGGTTGGTGGCCTTTTTACCTTGCTGCTTTTGACACTATTTTTTAAACTGTGTCTTTGTACGTGTCTTTCATTTCTAAACTGCCCAGAGTCAACTGGATAGTGAGATGGGAGGTGTATAAATTTGATAAATAAAGTAAAATATTCATGTTTTAAAAGACTTTTGCCTGAACTTATAGTACTTCTAACTCTGGCAGAAGGAGCCTATGATACAGATAAATGTAAACACTATTTTCCACATCCCATCTTAACACTCAATATCTTTTCTGATCTCAGATAAAAAATAATCCTATATTATTCTCAGTAATAAATAAATAGCTACAATTGAGTTACCATTGCTTGTGGACATTCGTATTTTCCTGCCAGGCTAAGCAGGTAAAGCCTTACACACTGGGAGAAAGAAATCTTCTCTGCAAACTGAAAATATTGAAAACCAAAGGCCAAACAAGTCCCAAAGATTCTTGTATCTACCAAGATAAGAATTCTAAATGTACCATCTTAGTACTATCAGCATCCCATTTTAGTACCATCAACAAATATGAGATCTTTTCTTCCTCTTCTGCTTATTGTGTGAATTCAGAAAAATAAACTTGCAAAATCTTCAAAGGGCCTGCTCACCCATTCATGCTTGGACTATAGGGTCTGTTTATGTGCCACGTGGTTCTGCCTCAGTATAACACATCAGAAACTACTACTGATATTTGTTGAATAAAGAGGGTGGCAGGGCAATCAAAGACCAGAGAAAAGAAAGAAAAGAAAAATGCAAATCATCGCATCTGTGTCAGCTATTCGCTTTTCTAACATCTCTTATTTCCCCAAATACAGACTGAATTCATTTTTCTTGCTAGCACCAGTCACAGAAGCAAACAAAGATTTTTTTTTAAAAAAAATTACATCATCAAGATATTCAGTTAAATCGACCCCATTCAGACCGAAACATTTTAAAAAGCTGACATTTGTAATCTTAAAATCAAAGTTTTATAATACTACCCCTAAAGTGAACAATTAGCAATTTTTTCTTGTTAATTAGGTAGCAGGACAAGAGTACTTATTATTGTCATCTGTCTTCTTCCAGAGTGATTCTTTTTAGAACTGCAACTGTTAGAAACCATCCTTAATTACTTCAGGTATATTACAGCCTGAATTAAAATGGAGGGGGGAAACTAAGCTGTAGAGTCTTTTTCTTTCAAGGAAGAAGAAATAGTTGAAGGGAAGAGCAATCTGATACCCAATCTGAACTCATTACCCTTGGCAAATGAAGACTATTCTGAGAGGCCTTTACTTTGCACCAAGAATTAGACTCACACCACAATCAGTACCAATCCCTGTTGGGTATACATGGGAGGGATTAATCCCATTAAATGCAGCGTGAAAATCATTTTTTGCAACTCACTGAGAAAGGAGATGAATTGGTCTGTCAGCTTTCCCAGTCTCACCAATAAGGGGCGGAAGACTGAGGCGAACACTCACATTTCTCCCAGTACTGAAATACAGGTAGTCCTCGACTTACAACGGTTTGAAGTTACAACAGCACTGAAAAAAGTGACCTAGGACTGTTTTTCACCCTTGCGATCATTGCAGCCTCCCCTTGGTCACGTGATCAAAACTCAGGTGCTTGGCAACTGACTCATAGTTATGATGGTTGCAGTGTCCCCGGGTCATGTGATCAGATTTTGCAACCTTCTCACAAGCCAGAAATCAGTGAAGAAGCCAGATTCATGTAACAACAGTGTTACTAACTTAATAGCTGCAGTGACTCGTTTAACAACTGGTGGCAAAAAAGACCGTAAAATGGGGCAAAATTCAACTTAACTTTCTCACTTAGCAAAAAGTCACTTACCTCAATTGTGATTATAGGTTGAGAACTACCTCTATATAAGTGTGTGTGTGTATGTATGAGTGTGTGAAATCTTGCTTCCTATAGCAGCACACTAACTGGTGTTCTGGACTGCTTTGACACATCCCCACCTCCAGGCAGGAGACAGCTCTATGAGAACTTCATTAGAATGGCTAGCTATTAACATGAGCTATTCCTGACAGAACCTCATGGTTGGTTCCGGCATCTTCCCTGCTCCTCCCCACCTCTAAGGTCAAATTAGATTCTTAGGAAGGAGAAAGGGGGAAGTAGGGTAACAGCTTTCTTCCTTTACTGTACATATGTTTGCAGTACAGGTAGTCTGACCGCAATTGAGACCATAATTCCCATTGCTAAAGCAAGGAAGTTGGTGAGTCATGCCTGATTGTATGAATCTTTTTGTCATGGTTGTTAAGCAAAGCATGCCATTGTTAAGTGAATCATACAGTCATTAAGCGAATCCAGCTTTCCCTATTGATTTTGCTGTCACAAATGGGCGGTTACTGCTACTTTCTTCATAAATACATGCTGGTCCGCAGGTGCCCAACTTTTGATCCTGTGTCCATGGGGATGTTGCAACAGTTATAAATGCACGAACTGCTTGAAAGTCACATTTTTGAGCGCCGTTGTAACTCTGAACAGTCACTAAATGAATGGTTGTAAGTAGAAGACTACCTGTATCTTGTTCAGTTTTCTCAGCACGTAAGTGAAATTTCAGCCAACGGAAGGCTTCTAAGTCTTTAAAATGCCATGCCCATCATTCCTTGCCATTATCTGTGTTATCTGCATTGCAGAAATTGAAATCCAAAACATTTGAAGACCATTTGTGTCTGCTCACCTCTGCCCTGGTTTTTTCGGTATGCAGTGCTTTTGCAAATGAATATGCATAAAAGTATACCATTGTAAGTAAATTAAGATTGAGTTAAGCTTATGGAATTGATACAGATGACATTTCCTTCCTCCCATTAAACAATGGTGGCAGTTATAGACACAGTTAATGAGTGTGACGTCCAAGCTATTTTCTTACATACCTCTGCAGGGATCATTTTTCACTAAGAACTCATCTAGTGCCATCCAACCACCTCCAACACGAACCATAACGGTGCTTCGCAGGATACGGACAAGACGAAGCTGCTGGGAATCACCAAACTGTGCCGAAGAAAGGAAAATAAGCTAAAGCTTTCCTATATATTCTAAACGGCAATGTACTTCTCCAGGCTAAGTAGGTTAAAATTAGCCACAGATAGATTATTTTAAATCATTAGTAGAAAAATTGCCAAAGACATTTTCATTAAGCATGATGATCAAAGCTGTGGTCAAACTGAATGTATTAATCCACCAGCTAGCAATGAGTTTGGGGTGGAGGAAGGTAAAAGCAGAACATAAAGATCAAATGCTGGTTTCATTTTTCACAAAATTGGCAAAAATCATGAAGTAGTAGAAAAAAAATACTAAGAGAAAGTATAAAGTTCTTACATCAGACAACTTGTTCCTTCATTATAAAAACCCTCTCTGAGCTTTCCTTGCAGAAATAATTAAAAAAAACACACTATGAGTTTCATAAAATGGAGAGAACTCTAAAGTTTTATCCTGGGAAAGAAGAAAAGTAATTTTAATTATGACACAAAGCTCCTTTCACTTTCTTGCTTTCAGGAAAACTTCCCCTTTGTATATCCAGTGTATTGCATGGTATGATTCAGTTACCTTTTCTTCTTTTCTAGATATTCTCATATCTGGGAGGTAAGCAGTGATTTCTTTCTTCTGCTACATACTATTTACATCACTATATTCTGATCACATATACTGCTACTATTTTAGTTAATTGAATTGAATTTATCTTTCAATTCTTTTTTTTTAATCATTAAAGGTCCAATAAAACCTATTGCATACCTACCATTCCTCAGCAACTCCTTGAGAGGTTCCTTTTTCAACACCAACCACAAAAGCATTAATAGTTTTGCTACTGGTCTTGCAGGCCTCTTAGTATTAATGTAAACTAAGCAGACAAGCAAAGCAGTAAAATAACCATGAAGACAAAGAGTTGGTGTCCTCAAAGATCAAAATGGAAACCTCTCCAGTCTGATGGACTGCAGAAGTGTTAGGATTACAACTCCCAGAATGCAGGTGTGGAAAACACTGTGGATGGAAAAATTATGTTTCTAATAATCCTCACTGGTGGTCAGAAGCACTCCTTCTAAGTATTGAAGAATATAGTACAATCCTTTAATAACTGTACAAAAACAAATGGCTATTAAGATGTGAAAAAACCAAAGCAAATAATTTATGAAGTTTTAAAAATTAAAAATAATGATTGATAAGTATCTATTTTAATTTTATTCAATTTCTCATTTTTTCAATTTGATTTGTATTATTTCTGCAAGTACTTTTTAAAAAAACCACATTCAAATGCTTATTATTATTTTTCTTTTTCAGTACATTTTTTTATACATATATGAAATGTACTGAAAAAGAAAAATTATGTATGTATGTATGTATGTGTATGTATGCGTGTGTATGTATATATATACATGTACATACATACATATATATGGTATTTAGCTTTGTTTGGGTATTTTCCCACGTCATTATAGTTTACGAACACAATACAGAAACCTGATGATGGCAGGTGAGATTCTGCCGAAACGTTGCTACAACTTTAAAAGCACAACTATAATGACGTGGGAAAATACCCGAACAAAGCTGAATACCATTCATGTAAGTACCCGCGAAAACTTAACACACACACACACACATATATATATACACACAGTATTTTGTATGTAATTTCTAGTTTATATATTTATTTGCCATGAATTTTCCTAGTATTATGTTATGTTAATTACTACTCAGACTAGATAAGATAGCTTCTGCCTTTATTTAGTTTTAACCTCTTAGCAGCCTTTAATACCACTGGCCATGATCAGTTCCAGGGGTTGGGTGGGGGGAGAAGTCCAGCCCATGGTTCCCAGCTTGTGGAGTGCCACAGGGCTCAGCCCTCTCATGTTTTACATCTACATGAAGCCACTGGATGAGGTCACCCAACAGTTCCAGGTGAGATATCAGTATTCTGCAAATACTCAGCTTTGCAGCTCCATGCAGGACTATCCAAGGGATACCATGGAGCCCTGTCTCAATGTCTAGAGGCTGTGGGTGTCTGGATGGGGAACAATAGGCATCAGGTGTAGTAAGTCTCAGTGGCCTTGAGTTTTAGCCCTTCTGGTTATGGGAAACTTCTATCGCTTGTTTTGGATGGGGTTGCACTACGCTAGATGGAACCTGGGTGCAATTTTGGAAGTCCTCCTGGACTTGTAACCACAGTTCAAAGAGCAGGTGACAGCTATGGCTAAGAGGGCCCTTGCCCAGGGGTGGGATCCTACCGGCGTAACAACTGGTTCGGTGAGCACATGCCTTGCGCGTGTGTGCAGTACTTGTAAATCAACTTCTCCTGCAAACAATAACCTTTTCCTGCTGATGCCACGCTAAGCAACTTAGGTTGCTTTAGCAGGGAATAAAGGACAGCCTAGAACCTGGGTGGGCAGGTGGGCACAATCAAAGCAAAGAAGATCTTCCGAGCAAACCTGTTCGGTGTCAGCTGCTCTTTGGAGCTATCGGTTCTATAGAACCAGGCTGAACTGGTAGAATCCCCCTTGCCCTGATAATGCATTGTCTACCAATCATGCCTGTTCCTAGAACAAAAGGCACTGCTCATGGCCGTTCACAATCTGTTTAGAAAAGTGTGCTTAGATATAATATTAAAATGAAACAAAAATGATTTTTCTTCATCCCTTATCTAAGTAATCATGAAACTTACATGATTGTTTAAGCATGTATAGATAATCTTTGAGCTACAGAAGTTTTATCTATTGTTTGATTCTAGTTTTTACACAGCTCCTTTATTTCTTGGCCTGCTGTAATAAAGAAGAGTTTCTTATCATGTCCAAACAAGGAAACAATGGTTAGCAGATCTGGAACATGGCAGAAAGCCAACTTAACTGAACTCGTTATTCAGAATCTTAATAGTCTCCTGGTTGAGACTCAACAGAGAATCTGAGGCTTCTGATTTATTACAGCACATCAGGAAAGAAAATTAACAACAACAAAAAAAAGAGCTGCAGGAACACCTCATGACGTGAAGCTAATGTAGGATTATTTGTATTGGGCAAATAGGCAAAAGGACAAAGTTTGCACTGTTTTGTTGTTTTGGGATCATAATGGCCAAGCGCAGACCTTCATGTTATGGGAACACAGAATGAGCATTGTAAAGCCAAAAAGGCTGTTGCAATCTAGAGGTGTGTACTGTACTTTTAAGCTCCCTGCTAGAAGAAGAACATACTTCCCTTTTTATTTCCTCTGATTGTTATTCTCTCCCTTCATGTTGCTCTGCAGCACATTTGCACTCCAGATCATTACAACAACTAGGTGAGAGCACAGACAAGACCAGGAAGAAAAGGCCCAGGAAACCACAACTAGTTAACTTTTCATTAAATGTATAATGAAATTCATTAGGTTTAAACACTTTCATCCCAATCACTGCCTAAAAAAACTTTTGTATGATCTACCCTAGTGGCTTGTGCTGCAAATCATTTTACCATTAGTTTCTGCTATGAGAAGAATTCAGAACTTCTCTAATATTTAATGCCTGATCTTTCATGAGGGCACGTATCCCCAAAAGTCCAACTGGAACAAGAAGCCAAATATTATCTTTCAAAATTGAAGCAAACGTTGTTTGTCTAGTAAAACTTCCACTGCTAAATCATACAAGCGAGCTTACTTTTTAATATAACTTTAATAGCTTAAGCAAGGGGGAAAGCATATTACTTCTTAGGAACCAAATAACAGTAAAGCAGATAAAGCTCACTACGCCAGGAACAAAACTTTTATTTTAGAAGTATGCAAAAATGCTAGTTTGGAATGTGCACTGTGTGAAATTATGGAAATAAACATAGCTATGAAGACTTTTTCCTTTCTTCTTATAAGGTTTTATGCTGCAGCAACTGTTTTTCATGAGAGTCCTTTGGAAAATGGACTTTGCTTAAATAGTTCTGGGAAGAAATTAGCCAGAGAAATTGGAACGATAACATGAGACATTCACCCAGGCTCTCCTACAGCCACAACTTCATCCAAATGCTGACTGTAGTTATTTTCCTAAAGCAGAGTGGGAAGTTATGACCACATAGATGAGTCAGGAAAGAATATCTCTTCCTGCTTCCTAGACTCTTTTTTTGAGAATTCTACCTTGGTTCCAAGCTGTAATATTCACGTTTCAATGTCCAGAGGCTCTAGCAGGGGAACCTGACACAATTTCATTTCATTTCCAACCAATCAAACTTAGGAAGTTGTTTGAGGTGTCTCCTTTTTTGCAGTATTCTTTGGGAAACTTATCCTTTACTCTAGTTGTGTTTTTCCAAAATCCTTACAAGCGCAACCTGTCATAATTATTTGGAGTGGCTAAAATATCTACATTATTACAGTCCTGTATCTAGATACTTAATATTCCTAAACATGCCTTTCAAAAATGTAAAAAACAAAACAAAAAATGGGTAAATAAGTCTACTATATTTAAGGATGCCCAGCTATTGCAGCTCTTATCTGTCTCTATCTCTCTCCAGAAGCACCAATTCCTTCAAGAATTTGATTAGTTTTACACCATCTTATATTCTATCGTTTCTATTAAACATTCAAGACAGTATATCTGACAATACTCTTCACTTAATCCTCATCATAACAACTGTCTAAGCATAAATTTAACTGAGAGTGTGTCTGATTGGCCTCAAATACTGAGTGAGCTCCATGGTTTAGGAGTAGATGGGAAATCCTATCTCAGAATTTTATTAATACTGTTTTATACAAAGCAATGTCCATTATTAAAGACATAGTTTTATAATGATAACATTGTGTTATCTTTATTTATCAAAATTCCTTTTTAATACATATAACTTTATAAAAAGAATCATAGGAAGATGGACTTTAAAAAGAATTGAAGATCTTCTGTGCCTGGCATCAGTGCAAATTTCAAACTTAGTGGAATCCATGTTCACTCATTATACGTTAAATCCTGACTGAAAGCTGAGGTCACTTTCCACCAAATGAAACCTGCTTGCCCCCAAATGTTAATTTTTTTCTTGTTTTGAATGATATAATATTGCTCTGCTAAAAAAGTAAGCAGAGTAACAAAGTATATTGAACAAAATAAACAAAATTCCCTTTTTGATGGATACAGTCTGAAAGGTGCTTGGTTGAATGCTATTGGTTTGTTTCAGAGTACCCTTTTCCTAGTAGTTTAAAAAAATGTGATGTAAATTACCTGACAGTGGGATGCAGCATGGAAACCTAAAAGCCATTCCATATAGCAATCATAGCACAATCTTAACTACAGTTTTCAAGTGCAAATTACAGAGAAAGTATCTGAAAGCATTTGCACCTCGAACAGCATTTGGCACTATTATCTGGTTCCCTTAAAGTAATCTTAATTATGAGGCAGCGACAGGCAAAGAGGCAATTCTCAGTGTAAAGACACCTGTTAAGGCACCAAAGCTGAGCGAACAAGAAATTAGCTCAGGGTGAAAGGAAGTGGGAGGACAAATCACTGCAAGCTGAAATGATAATGTATTAAAAAATACTAGAAGAACTCCATGTACTGTTTATACCTGATTTCCCAGGAAGAACTGACAAGAGATGGAAAATGGGGAAAAAACACAATTAGTTTAACAGGAAATGGTGTCATGAATCTAGAACACACTATGAAAGTGCATACGTATTCCAAATAGCTTGATATAATATATACTTTACATGTGTACAGGTAACATTAAATGCTTGGACTGTAAATGATGGGGAATGGAATTCTAATTTATCTGTTACTTCCTTGCATGATCTTTGATCAAATATCTTCTGCCATTTGACAAATTTTTCCTTCATATCTGTTTAAGACTCCCCCCACCCCACAAAGATGTGCAACACATTTCCTAACTAATAAAACTGGGACATATGCTTTTTACGAAAACAGGATGATCATGAGATATATTATTCAATAACTTTGAATTCTAATTCAGTTGGGAAGTACACTGTTTAAATGTTAATGAATAGTACAATAAAAGATCTTGAATATTGGTGGCATGATATTATATAAGTATTACATAACACAGGGGTTGCCAATCTTCTTGGTTCTGCTGACTGCTAGTGGTAGTTTCAGTAGCAGGGGGGAATGGTTTCGCACACACAACCTAAATCCCATGCATGTGCAAATAATCACCATATATAATAATTTCAAATGAGCATCAATAGGAATTAGGGTAGTTGCACAGTTAATTGCTGTTTAGACTGGATTTGACATTTTTATCCACTTAATGAATCAAAGACCTGAGACAAGCAGATATTGTTTAGTAATAATATTAAAGGTAAAAGCTGCCTTTTGCAACTGTTTGGTGGTGATTTTGTCAATGCCACTGAAGCTCCAGATGTTCTGGGAATTGGACTCAAAGTGCCTATTACTATTGGTACTATCTTGGCTTCCTTTCACAGTTGTTCTAAACTTCTATTTGCAGGTCTTTGTATTTCGTGATTTTCTCCAGTTTTTTTCTCTTCTATCCTGTTGTCTCCAAATCCTGAAGCATCCACTATTCAAACTTCTTTGTCTTTCTTATCAACAATTATTAAGTGTTGTGTGGAAAATGTTTGTCTGCTTCAATTCTAAAGTCCCAGCGCATTTAGCTTCTTCATTTTCTATTACTTTGTCTATGTTGTGACTATTATTTTAATTGACTGTTAAGTAAAATTTGAAATAGGTTTTAACACTTTAAGAAAATTCACAGAATTCAGAGTCTAAATTTAGTTTAATAATTCAGGTCTTCTGGTTCTTTTCAGAGTAGCTAGGTATAAATCAATAGATGACATGAATGTATTTTTTAGACTTACTCTGTACTTATTTTCGCCAATCTGCTCCACCTGGAACCGCTTTGCACATTTACATTTTGCTACTTGCCTTGTCACCTGTGAATATGATAATCAGAACCACTGTATTAGATTTTTCAGCCATTCTGTATCATTGGTAAATTGTAAGTATGACGATCATTATGCAGTGCTAATGGAAAATGCTCATAATAAGAGGTGAATAGAAGAATACCTCATCTTCAATTTTGTCTGCATCTGTCAGAGGTTTGTATGCATCCTTGTTTGGATGAAGTGCTGCTACAAATTCATAATAGTCAATATAGCCATCGCCATCTCTGTCAAAAATGTCTGCTACCGCACTCATTTCCAGGCGACTTGTAGGAAATTCTATGGAAAAGAAGTAATACTAAACATTAGAATTACAAAGTTTTAAGAACAGATTACTTCTAAAATCATAGAATTAAAGAGAATTTTGCAGGCTTTCTAATCTATTTTTCTGTTTGATGTGGGAAGGCCAAAACTAGAGGATCTGGAAAAGATGGCTATCTACTCTTTGAATGAATGTAACAAGAGTTGAACAATCTTCTGGCTCAGTATTTCTTAATTTTGTTTTAATCCTTTCTTATTTTTAAAAATTAAGGATGACCCTCAAAAGAACTTTGTATATATGGGTTATGTTTATCAATATTAAAAATGATTAATTCATTCAGAACATTTACTGAATGATATAACTATTACAATATTGAACCTATTATATATTAATATAAAATATTTTTCACAAAAAAACTGTTTTAACAACAATAAATGAGAACAGTGACATTGTTTTAAATTTTTGCAAATATCTTCAATAGCAGGTAAATAATTTTCACTTCCCAGATCCCTGAGAGGGTCTTGGGGGAACACTTTTTGGACCATACTTTAAGAAACACATATTATCATAACAAGTTATTAGTTCCTCTGATTGACCATTCTTTCCACTAAACATTTATCTTGATGCTTCACTGGATTGTAACAATTTAGACTCTGGTTAGTTATATCCATTAGATCTAATTCCATCTATTGGTCACTAAGAATATATCTCTTATATGCAGATATTTGAGAAGTATTATTACCCCCTTTTCTCTCAGATTCTTTTTCTTCACAAGCAATCTGAAGTTTCAAGAATGGTTTGTTTTAAAACTTACTTGAAGAGAGAATCCCATCAATAAATTCCTGTCTTGTTATCTTTCCATCCTGATCTTTATCTATCCTCCTAAAGAAGTCCATTACTCGAGATTTCTTGTGGTTCATCCATCGCATATACTTCTTCCGCCAAATATCAAAATCAAAATTGGCAAATTCCCTCAGCTGGAAAAACAAATCATGAAAATGATTTAAGAGATGAATTAGCTTATGGTACCCAATATCCACGATGCTAAGATCCCGGACAAAAGTGAATACTGGTTTCCTCTGTAATGTGAAAAATCAAACTAGTCCTTTCTATTTCCTGCCTAGGTCTCTGATCTTGGACTCTCAGCGGCCTTGGCCAAGGTGTATGAGCCTGAAGGCGCCTTCAAACTGCAGTTCAACTACATTTGTGGATCCAAAGCTACATATCAACTTAGCATGAAGAATTGCAGAAGTTAACTTCATCTGTCATTTAAAAATAAGGTTTAAAATTATTTCCAATTATTAAAAGAAAGGTGGTTAGCATTCATCATGAATGCTCCTAAAAGAAAAATAACTCTAAACTTTGACTAATAGAGTGGGAAACTATCTTTTGAAGAGACTATTGGTGCTTTTTACCATTTGACAAACCAATGTGTGACTCTCCAGTTCCTTTGGTTCCTATTTTTGATGTAAAAACTTATTTGATTGCTGGGAATGGAAAATGAGTTGGTGGCACACAAACATTAATTCATTAATTCGATCAATCAATCAATCATTATTTGTTTAGATTTGTATGCCACCCATGTCATTTAGAGGCAATGCTGATCCATACAGTTGGTAGTAACATCCCATTTTCTCAGTCATGTGTGTCATGTCTGTATCTTCCTGTTGGTACAGGCAGAAGCATATCGGTGTCCTGTCCTTCCATGGAGCGCCCTGGGTACTCAATGTATGGGTAGGTACTTTCTCTCCAAATAGTCAGAAGAGTAACTGTGCTGATGATCAAGAGCTAACCACATACCCTCTGAGTGTCAGATGTGATGAATCGGTGGTCCCCCTCCCCTGCCCAAAAGGAATGCCACTGCCATTCATGCATGAAAAAGAACTTTATTTAAGGTCCTGGGGCGGCTGTTTTAACTACTGTTACTAACCTCTTCTAATCGGTCTAAGGCGTCATTAAGTTTCCTTCGTCTCTCCAGGGCCAGGAGCCAGACTTGTTGCCATTTGCTGAGCAAGAGGTTAATCCGTGGATTCTTTGTCTCGATTTGGGTCTGAGCACCTGAAGGGTATATGCTTGGGATTGGAGAACATTTTCCTGTTAAACATAAAGTGAATTGCATATGCATCAAAAACTGTGAATCAAAATTACCCCTTTCCGAGCAATTTAGAAGAAAGATAATATGAATATATGCTTGTTTGGTTGCAAATAATACTTCGGTTCTGTTTATGGAGGGCAGCTATAAACCTAAATAGCATGAGTCAGATACAAGAGGCCATAGGAGTACAAATTGTCAACTATTATTTATTCTTGCCATTTTTTAAATGACAAAAAAGAGCATAAAACTACTCTATGAGATAAAACAATGGTGAATTACTGCTGCAATCTATAAATAGCCAAGAAATGTTGAAATATGATACTCTCAATGCCTCACAATAGAACATTACTTACTTCCTCCTCTTCCCTTATCCAATACAGGAATATGAGATTGGATTGGGCTGGTTTCAGCTGCTTTTCTTTTATGTGTCTTCGTAATTTTATCTACATCTGGCTGTTTTCTGGTCATTTCTTCCATGAATGTCTGCAATTAAACGGTGATTACTTTGACTAACATTGCATCCAAATAACCTGAAAAATACTCAGTGAAACAACAGCTTTGGTGCAGTGGTCTATTTGGCCTATCATATGTACTTAATGCAGCTGCATCACACATAACTTTTTCAGTATTTACTTCAAGGTCTGTATCAATTCAGGTACTCCTTGACTTACAACAGTTTGTTTACTGATGGTTCAAAGTTACCAAGAAACTGGAAAAAGGGACTTATGACCAATTTTCACACTTATGATTGTTGCAGCATCCCCATGGTCATGTGATTTACATTTGGGTGCTTGACAACTGGTTCATATTTATGACGGCCACAGTGTCCTGGAGTCATCAAAAAAGCACAACAAAGAATGTTCTTTCTGCGCCAACTCAGAAAGCTCAAACTGCCCAAGGAGCTGCTGATACAGTTCTACAGAGGAATTATTAAGTCTATCGTCTGCACCTCTATAACTGTCTGGTTTGGTTCTGCAACCCAACAGGACAGACACAGACTTCAGAGGATAATTAGGACTGCAGAAAAAACAATTACTACCCACCTGCCTTCAACCGAGGACCTGTATACTGCATGAGTCAAAAAGAGGGATGTGAAAATATTTACAGATCCCTCACACCCTGGCCATAAACTGTTTCAACTCCTTCCCTCAAAACAATGCTATAGAGCACTGCACACCAGAACAACTAGACACAAGGACAGTTTTTTCCCAAAAGCCATCACTCTGCTAAACAAATAATTCCCTCAACACTGTCCAACTATTTACAAAGTCTGCACTACTATTACTGTTAATCTTCTCATCACTCCTTATCACCCATCCCCTCCCACTTGTGACTGTATGACTTTAACTTTGTTGCTTGTATCCTTACGATTTATATTGACTGTTTCCTAGTATTATTTGATTGCTTATGACTATTATTAAGTGTTGTACCTTATGATTCTTGACTCTCGATGAATGTATCTTTTCTTTTATGTATACTGAGAGCATTTGCACCAAGACAAATTCCTTGTGTGTCCAACACACTTGGCCAATAAAGAATTCTATTCTATTCTATTCTATTCTATTCTATTCTATTCTATTCTATTCTATTCTATTC